CTCCTCCGCGATGGCGGCGGCGGCGGCGACGGACAAACATCTCACTGCGCAGGCCGAACGTCCTCCTCCTCCTCCTTCTCCTCCTCCGCCTCAGCGAGACGAGATCCGGCCCGGAGGGTGGAGGGGGGAGGAGGGAGGGAGGAGAGCCGGAGTGGAGATGGGGGAGGGGGTGGGAGGACGGGAGGGAAGGCGGGCGGCCCCAGCGGGGGGGGGCGCTGGGGGGGGGCGCGCAGATCTCGCGAGAAAAGGACGAGCGCGCCGCTCCGGGCGGGGCGGGGCGAAGCCCGGGAGCGGGCGGGCTCAACGCGAGTGGAGGAAGAGAAGAAGAAGAAGAAGACGGGCGAGTCGAGAAGAGGGCGGAGCCAGGCGGACGGGGAGGCGGGGAGAGGGCGGGGCTGAGAGCGGCAGCAGCGGGAGAAGCCAGCTGGCCTTTTGGAAACAGGGGCTTCGGAGACCCGGTTCTGGGCAGAGGCGGCTGCTGATTGGTGGAGTCCCTAGGGGGCGGAGGCAAAGAAACCTGGTCACGTGGGCAGTGGGCGGGGGAAGTTCCGGTAGCCAAAGCCAGGTTGTAATAGGCTGCTGCTGGCCGGACCGGGTTGGTGCCCGGAGAGGATTGTCTGGGAACGAGCGTGGGGTGCTAGGTGGGTAGCTGTGTTTTTCTAGGGCATGCGGACGAGGGATGGGTACTTGAGCAGAAGCCAGACACTTAAAGGGAGAGTGTGTGTGAGGGAGTTACCTGCAGCACCGGAAATTAGTGACAAGGTATTCATTACTGCACACCTCTGCTCGCGGGACTGCGGGGCGGCGGGTTTACCCGCAAAGCTGCCGGAAACTGCGCGAGCTCCGCCACTTCTCCACTCAGGACCCAGGGATCACCAGTTACAACGAGATACAAACCTGCGTTTTGTGTTCATGGAAGCATTGTCATTTGACCACTCTTTAGTGTAGCCCAGCATTTGCTGAATGATGTCAAGTGGAATCACAAACCTGGCTTTTCATCCGCCAAACAAATCATGCTTTTTTTCCCCCTATTTTACCATTATCAAGAACACTGTAGATCTTTAAAGCCAACATTGAGTTGTTAGATATTTGGAAGAATTTTGTTGCTGTGTGGGGGAAGCTGGTCACGTTTTTGTGAGGAAAAAAAAATAGCTTGACTTAGTTTTTGCTTTTTCTTTATCATGAATCATACTTCCTGGTTTGCCTGCTTGTTCAATTAGTGTTGTACTTAACGTTTCCAACTCCTGAAGTGGAAATGTGTGAGTTCCTGCTTGAAGTTGTTGATCTTCCCATTTTGAATAGCTACTGTTGGGATGACTGTCCACATTTGAAGGTAAGGGTTTTAACACTTTTCAAAATACAAACTTGAGAAGCCAGCCCAGGCAAGAAAGTCTCCAACTACCCAAAAATATGTTTTAAGCTGGAAATGGAGCCGTGGTTCAAGTGGAAGAGCACTACTAGCTTTGAACAAAAGAAGCTCGGGGACATTGCCCAGGCCTTGAGTTCAATCCTCAGGACTGGCACTAAAACAAAAACAAAACCTTGAACAAATAAACTGAAATACGTTTTTTTTTCCCTCTAAGATTAGATTTCCCCTGGATTAATTCCTGATATCGAAATTTGTGAGTGTTGTGCGTGGTTGGTATGGCCCATTGAAAATATATTGTAATGGTGCTCCATTCAGCAGTACATATACTAAAATTAGAACAGCATAAATATTGGCATGGCCCCTGCACAAGGGTGACATGTGAACTTATGAAGCATTCATATTTTTAAAGAGAATACACTCTCACACTGGCTTTTTTTTTAAATCTAATCAAAACAAAAGCTTAGGGAGAATATTACTTAAAGCAGTATCTGTGGAGACACTAAGCTAAAAATAGGCCACTGAGAATGAGTCAATAAGGTAAAATGGGAGAGGCTCTGACTTCAATTTAAGGTAATATGAATCTTGAATAGGAATTTCTAGTCTGTATACTAGTTCAGTCTCCATGTCTATAACCATTAGGATATGACAGCGGGTTGGTTTTGGTTTTGTTTTTTTTTCTATCAGTTACCCTGTACCCTGACCCAATATGGGTCAGTTTTGTTATAAGAATATAGGTTCTGAGGCACAACTCAAATGGTTGACTCAGCTGTACCACTTTACCAGCTGTGTCGTGTTTTTTTCTTGGGGGAAGGGGTGGCAAAGACTTGACCATGCCTAGAGCTTCTCATCGGTAAAATGGAGACAATAAGAATATCGCCTCCCATAACTGTGAAATTCAAATAAGTAAATACATTTTAAAAGCTCTAAGAGCAATACCGGCACAAAGCAGCCACACACGACCTGTTGGCTAGCATTCTGGGCATTAAGGCCAAGGTTGTGCTATCTTCCTTTGTTCAACAAGTAAGTTTCTAAAAGAAACAAATACATCAACTTCATAAAGCAGATCATATCTAAAAGCCAGTCTCCAACTTGGATTTCAAAAACCAATGAACTTTTTTTCAATAAGCTGTAAGTCAATAAGGGTTGACTATTTTGGCCAGAAAGTGAAATGAACAGGACAAGCATCAGACACTATCACGACTATTTTATGAACGAAAAAAAAATATTTATCTATATATCCCGAAAAATGGAGGAATGTTATTTTTTAGTAAGAAATTTTTTTTACATTAATGAATTTAGCCTTATGATAACATTTTCTTTTCACCATGAACCTAAGAAAACACCAGTGGCAAGTTTTTACAAATGTGCTGTATCGAGGTCTATTTCACAATATTACCACCCTTTGTTTTGTGAGCCCACATTTTCATATGCTTAGTGATACTTATGCAAAATGTCGCTACATTGAAAAGAATCCCTATCAACTGTTACTTTCCTTAGGCTTTTAGCCACCAAGAACTAGGAAAATTCTTCAATAAGAATTTGTCATTAAGAAATCTACTGTGTGTTTATTTACTCATTCATTTATTCAACAAAGATTTATTGAATGGCTAAAATATATATGAGAGACATTTACTCACTAGGTTGAATAAAATAATTGAGACCTGCCATCACAATATATAGTCCCTTTTCACATCTCAAAATTTGGAACCCACAGTCCAAGATGGATTTAGCAACAATTTCCTCTACACTTCAGAAATCAGAGGAAGGCAGTATCCTCAAAATGTGTGTGTGTGTGTGTGTGTGTGTGTGTGCGCGCGCGCGCGCACCTGTATATGCATCACTGTTCTGCAAGTGATATTCCATAGTAGAATGCAAATAGAAAGTGAACTTTCATAATGGTTGCTTTTCTGTTAACTGTCACCTGACCCAGCAGAGGAAGCCACACTGGAATAGGAATTCACTAGATCCCACATGTCTGACAGTTGGTATTTCTACTCCTGCTGACAGTGTCCTAATGTGGGAAAACAGAGGCCCCTTTCCATTTATCCTTTCTAGCAGGCACAGGCTGACAGGCAGTTCAGTGAACTCACCTTTTTTCTACATCCCAGTGTGAAAAATGGCATCATGAAGTGGTGAATGAAAGGGAATATGGCCTCTTCTTTGCCATGAGTTCTTAAGTATTCAAGATACCAGGTCATTGAAATCACTGTTACAGACCTTTGGATTTGATTGTAAAGATACTGGTTATTAAATCAGCTCCCAGACTACCAGTTTAATTAAAGATTTGTTCAATGGTTTTGAATAGACCAAGAGTGTGTTAAGGGAAGATTAATTTTTTTCAGACTAGAAGCTGAAGATGTAGAGATATTAGTGGCTTTTTAAATAGAAGGGCTGGATGTTCTGTTTTCTTGCTTGTCCTCAGTAGGTAACTGGTAAGTTATAGCCACAAGCTGTGGCTTTGTACACATGTAGGGCAGTAGCATGTGAATGTGCATACTGAGATGATGGATAGGTTATTGGGGAATAGAGTAGAACATTGACAATCCAACCACAGGCATTAAATATATGGGAACCCTGGGCTTTTTCTCTGTACTTTTTCCTGCCTTGTCATTATTTTCCTTATATCATTGAGACAATGAACATATGAGACATATCAGTATATGAAACAAGTTACATCTTGGATCAGAGAAGAATCTTCAGTGTCTGATTATATCACAAAAGCCCCTCTGTTTTTCATCACACTGTCATGGGAAATAAAATCATTTCACTGACAGCTGTAGAAACTTCCTAGTTGACGTGTTCTGTTTATTTCATATTTACCCAGCAAATTAATACTTTGAAAATAAAACTATGTTCCTAACCTAATAACAATATAAATCCACAACAATTACAGGCATTTCATAAATGTAGTTATATTTTGAGGAAATGAATTTCTTTTTATTGATAGTGTTATAGCAGTAACTGTATCAAGCAGCCCCATATGTTAGTAATATATATCATTTCATTTACAAGTAAAATGTATAAAGAAATTTGGAAGTCTTTAGCTCTCTCTTTGTGAAGTAAATTAACTGAGTTTGAGTCGAAATACCAAAAATATCCACACAAGTAAATAGTACAAGTTTTTAGGTAAATTTAGTAAATGCCTAAATTGTAATAATACCCATCAACAAATGTAATAAAATAGCATTGACTTTACACTTGTTCAATGAGCTATTTTTTCATAAATATACCTGGTAGAATAAAAATCTTAGTAAGGTAAAGCAGTCCTCATGAAAGATAATTACCTTTAAAAGGACAAAAGGCATACAAAAAGGGTCTAGCAATTAAACTAAAATTTAGTTAAGTTTAAAGTCATGCCAGGTGCTGGTGACTCATGCCTATAATCCTGACTACTCAGAAGACTGAGATTTGAGGTTCAAAGCTAGCCCAGGCAAGCATGTCTGTCAGACTCTTATTTCCACTTAATCACAAAAAAAAGCTGGAAGTGGAGCTGTGGCTCAAGTGGTAGAGCACTAGACTTGACCAAAAATGCTCAGAGGCGACGCCCAGGCCCTGAGTTCAAGACCCAGGACTTGACACACAAAAATGTCTTGCTGTCTGGATCCTCTAATTGTATGGATGACAAAACATCCACCTTTAAACATTAAACACACAAATCAGTGTACCCTGACTCTCACTTCATAGTATCATCATTGTTCTTATAGTGTGCTATTTCTCTCCAAAACAAAAAACTTGTAAATTTTGAGTTTACATAGGAAACATATAATTCAAAACATTATTTCTGCTCTTACTTCTGCTCTTACATTGCTTCTCAGCTATGTTGATGAAATTTTTGTGTTGTAAAACAAGGCAGTAAACCTAGACCTTACCTCAATATAACAATAGAAAAGTAACAAATTTCACACTCATTTTAACTATATGGCAAATTAATTCCTTAAGAAATTACTGAAAAGAATGATGCTAATTTATCTGAAATATTTTCATCCTGTGAAGAAGGCAATTCTTCTGTAATTGTGTTCAGATTTTAGATGTCATAGAATGATCCCTGTGGTTCCACTTTTAGCAACTTTCTTCTAGTTTTGGATAAGTTCGTACTACTGCCACGTAATAGTACATTAGCCAGTGCTATGCAGTAATGAGTCACCATGGTCAGGGATACAGGATTAAAAACTAATTAAATATACTCAATTATAATAAATATAAATGTTCTTTGTAGTAGACTATCAAACTCTATATCAATACCTAAACATTTTTGAACTGATAGAATATTGGCAATTATTGCATTGTAATAGCAAAGCATTATAGTAGATGAGCAATTATAGATAACTGCTAACTATTAAAGCTGTCCATTAAAAATACAATGTATCTGAATCAGCTACATTGCCTTTCACTGCAGGTAACAGAAAACCAAACTACAACTGACATAAGCAATAATCAGGTCTATTGTTTCATGTAACAAGAAGTCCAGAGTTAGGATAGGATCCAGAAATTGTACATCTAGGCTCTGGTCCAACTTTGTAGCAGTTTTCTTGATCTCCTCCTTAAGCTAATGACAATTGGCTACAGTCATTATAGTTAATCCTTACAGACTCAATATTGTCCAGACCAGAGGAACAGGGTCTACTTTATGATCTAGGAAATTGATCCTAGAGGAGCTCCTAGGAAGCACTGTCATGGCTCATTGGCCAACACTACATGCCCAATTTATCTCATTCAGTGGCAAGTACTTATAGGTATGGCTAATAGCAGTCATTGGGGAACAATCTCTTGATATGAAGCATATTTATCAATGTTAAAAGAGATTCTAATGGAAACAACTGAGTTGAAGGAGTATAAGGGGAGGGGAGATAGCTAGCTAATGAAAAGAAGTTTAGTTCCCAAACTTTACTGAAAGATAACTCTCACCACAGATGATAAGACCAAAACAAGAGAAAAAAAGTACATCACATCCAGTAACAGAGGAGAAGAGCTAGGTCAGGAAATGATGCCATGGGCATGCACGTTTATACAGACACTTGGATGCTCATTTCAGAAATAAAGTTAAGGGTTTCTCTTTTAGTGCTACTTTGAGAATTTTATT